AGGCCTCAAAACAGTAACCTGATGTCACAGCTACGTCCATTATTTTATACAGTTTTGAAGCCACATGAATAAATTATGTCTTCGTGACAAGTAAATTGACATGATGTAGCTACGTCTATTATTTTACTTTAAACACATATTTCATCAACCATCCACCTTGCTGATGTATAAATGAGCAAGAATTCCTAACAGCTCCAGAGAGCACTCAACTGAAGCCTGACCTCTGATGGAGGGAAGCAAGAGAAAAGGGAATCACATTATTTTTGTATGAATTAGCGCTCGTACAATTGAGCTGAAGCCCCCTTCTCCTTCTCTATCTTCACTTTTTCCTCCTCATCCTCTTCCTCTCCTCTTGTCAGTTCAGCTCCAATGCCTTTTAGATTTTCCCCAAGAATTTTAAGCAGCACCTGGCTCATGCACCCCATCTTCATCCACCCCCCTCCGCCTCCTTCCTGTGATCCATCCAGTGACTTTTACCAATTTACTTGTTTCCAAAACTTTTCAGAAAGCTCATCCCAACAGACAGGATAAACAAGAGAAGTCACAGATTAATGTGGGGTTGCTAAAATGCAGGAAATAGACAAAAGGGGTAAACAAAACTATTCCGCAGCTCGAAGGAACACATACTGTAGGAGGGACAAGCGAGAACAGAGGGAGGTATGCATGGTGAGTTATGTCTGGGTTGTGATCCAGCTAAATTGCCTTGGCAGTAAGTCCCTTTTCTCTGAGTAAAGGGTTAGACAGAGATGGATGGATGGAGAGTATGAGGAGAGGGGATCAAGTAAGGGAGGGGGATGAGGTGGGGAGAGGGGTAAAAGAAAAGGAGCTGAGACTAAGAGACAGTGGAGCAGCATACGGGTGTCAGGTAGAAGGTGAGGAAGGCAGCAAGGGGAGGAAAAAGGGGAAAGAAAATCTGACAGTGTAAATAAGTAAAGGTGAGAGACAGAAGGGAGGAAGATGCAAATGAAGAGGAGTCGAGGGTGCGCGGGAGTGGGTGAAAAGGGGGGGAGGAGAGACATGAGATGACAGGGAGGTGAGGGTAGAGGAGAAGGTGAAGAAGGGAGAGAACCAGAGAGGAGGAGAGGATGACAAAACTCATCCTGCATGGAAAAAAAAGTCTAAAAATATATCAGACAAAAATATGGGGGATGGGAGAAAGGGGGAGAGATATTTTAAAAAGCCCGACAGAGGCTTCAACAAGAAAGAAAGACAGAGAAAAAAAATGGCTAAACCCAAGGTCAATGAAGAGCATAAATTTAATGAGGCAAAGACAGAAAAGAGAGAAAAGGGGAGATGGAGGGGGGAAAAAAGACACAAACGAGCGCAGGGGATAAAAGCAGGTTTACATTAGTGGGGAATTTTTTGACAAGGGGCTCAAAGGCACAGTGATGAAAAGAGGAGAGAAACACACACAGAGAGGTAGCAGCAAGAAAAGACATGAAATAAATATAAGTGGGGGAGGGATATTATGAGAGAGCACATCCTGTTAGCACAAGTTCTCTCTCTTTTTTCCTTTGGTTTGCCCATTTTCTCAGAAAGCCTTTAAGAAGAGCAAGACTGTAATGCCAGAGCCACTCTGACATTATTACTGCTGACAGAGCACAATCACACTCAATATAAAGAGATATAACAAACAGGCATGATGGGACAATAGCACAAACTATAATGCCCCACTGGAGTAACTATTTAAAAAAGCAGATAAGCAGTTATTTATGTGTAGGTCATTTTGGTACTATTTCAAATAAGCTGATTCCATTGTGTAACCTATTATTTTATAACACATACTTTGTAGTTGTCAGTAATGCATAATGTCTGCTACCTTGGGCCCCATTTATACCTGGTGTTAACATGCATCTTGGGTGATCAGATCACAAATGGAAAGCCCTTAATACAAGTGTAAACGATCACCAAGATGCATTGTGATCTGATCACCACTTGCCAAGGTGGTCTGGGACATATTCGACCATATATCTTTAAAACGTAATGCTAAACGCTAATGCTAGGACTATGTTATCACTGCAGGACATGGTGGTTGTTTTGGTGACAGAATGCATTTGTATTTTCTTTCTTTTTGTATTCAGATATTCAACCTCTGTAAACAAAAGTTAGTTTGACTGTAAGTCACCTGCTTCATCAGCCTTATGCAGCATCTGTTTTGCATTGGTATCTGTCCATATATTAGTCTTTAATTTGTATTCTAAATGATCAATAATACAGTATAATTAAACTTTACATTGATAATCTTACATGACAATACCTGCTCTGTCAACCATCTTAATTTGCACTACCATCATAAGCATATGTACTGTAGTAACAGCTCTCTGTAGTAGTCCTGGGACTGCACTGCTTTGTGTTTTTATTCTTCTGCTTATATTCTCTATCCCTTTATGAATCTATGTTTTTTATGCATTGTGTAATCGGCTACTGGGTGCCTTAACTTCCCTCCGGATTACTAAAGTATCTGTTTATAACTTGCCGATTTTATGTATGTGTGTTAATGAAGTGTTGCGTGACTGTCCATTGTTTTGCCCTGTGGAAAGAGACATGCTGAATTCTGCTGACGGCGAAATCTCCAGCTGTACCAAAACAACTGCTATCAAGCAGCTGACAAGAGTGTGGGCACATTAACTGTGGGCCATATGATCTTCTAGCGCAAGTGATGTAGGCATTAACAAAACCTGTAGACTTAACTGTCCACTTGTGTTCGTATTACCGAACGCATGTTAGAAGCTGGAAACAACTGGCTCTAAAAGTGGGTGTAGTGTCCTTATCAAAAGGTGAGACTTAGACCTATTTAAACTTACAGTATGATTCTCAGATGCTTCATAAATACAAACCCTGTACTATTAATCCACATCCAGTGGAAGATGATCCTTATACTTATTGTTTACTCTTGACCCACAAAGTTAAAATCTCTTCGGAGTAAAACATACTGCACCCACTGATCTCTATAATCCTCTTGTAGCAACAGAATCTTAACTCCATTGACATCAGCCCTCTATTAAGTTTCTGTACTGATACACCCGCATCAGACTTTAACAGCTACCAGAGGACGTACAGTACAGCTCCCTCTTATCTCTCTCTCCTCTCTCCCTCTAAAGCTCCCTTTAATTGCTCTCTCCACCCTTCCTAACCTCACAGCTCACTAGCTGGCTTTATACGTAGTGATTGCATCATTGATGGTACATCATTTCACACGGACATATGCATGCAAACACATTCTGCCCTCGTGGAGACACTGATATGCAGAAGCTGGCTGTAATCAGCTGCAAAAAATCTCCTTAATTTGTAAATTCTGGTCTGACACACATGCACATTTGTACTCCTATACTTGTGGGGACCCTAACTTATACCATGCATTCCCTAGCTCCAAAAGTCTTGGCCACAACTACTGCACAGTGCATGTCTAACCCCAGCTCTTAACCTTAATTTACATGTAACTTTAATCTTAATCTGAAAGTCAATGTCTTAAAGTTTAAACAGCTCTTTAAGGAAAAAATGTCCTCACTCTCAAGGTCTTAAACTAAAATTGGTTCCTAAAAGGATAGGAGAACAAGAGCATACAAACACACACACACACACACACACACACGCAAAAACACTCTGCCCTTGTGGTGATGCTCATACATAGCTGGCTGGTATCAGCTGGGAAGCTTCTTGTTCATTTGTTAATTTTGATCTGACACACACACACATATGTTTGTACTCATGAAGCCTTGATCACAGCTACAGTACATGTCTAACCCCAGCCCTTAACCTACAAGTAATTCTAATCTTACCCTGAAAGTCAAAGTCTTACAGCTTAAAGAGATCTTTGAAGACAAAACATGTCCTCATTCTAAAGGTCTCAAAACCAAACATGATCCTTACAAGGACAGAAGAGCAAGAACACACATGCAAACACACTCTGGCCTTGTGGTGACGCTCATATGTAGAAGCTGGCAAGCTTTACGTCATTTGTAAAATTCTGGTCTGACATGTGTTTGTACTCTGTTCTTAATCTGAAAGCCAAAGTCTTGAAACCTAAATAGATCTATGAAGACAAAAAATGTCCTCACTCTTAAGGCCTAAAAGTGAAATTGGTCCTTAAAAGGATAGACAAACAAGAACACACAGGTAGACACACACTCCATCTTCTCAGTCTTCCTCTAAGGGCAAACCACAGATGAACAGCTTTTGAACGGCCTTGCCAACATTTGCCCTCCCTAGACACACACACACACGCACACACACACACACACACACACACATTTGTATTATTATACACTTAAGCCATAACTACTGTCAAACCTAACCCCAACCCTGACCTAACCTCTAACCTTGTCAATCAAACAGCACATTAAGGACGTGGCAACCAGCAGAAATGTCCTCACTATGCATAAATGTCCTCTCTTCCACTTGGTCCTCATACAGATACAAGTACAACACCAACACACACACACTCTCACACACACACAAACATAAAGTACTTGCTTTATAGGCCCCAGGAGGCGCTGAGGAAACTGCTTTCCCAACTGCTTTATGTATTGGTCAATTTAACACCGGCAACATCAGCATATTAAAAATACATGTGCCCAAGGACACAAGAGCAATTTTGTGTGTGTGTGCGCGCACGTGTGAGAGAGCATTTTAATGCAGAGTAGCCTACCTTGAAGAGTGCCATTACTACGCTGTTATCTGCCTAATAGAGCTGTTTATACTGTGAATGCATGTTTAACACTCAATTAACCTGAACAGCCATTTCTGAATGGGAGTCAATCACACAGAAAGGAAACTGAGAAAGTGGTATGTGTTATTGGGAATCTAAAAATATGTCAGTCACCTTTTAGAGTGGCAAAAACATTTTTTTGATGAATTAAAGGAATATATATTGGGCCATTGGTCAACTTCCCCTTTAAGTGATGAGAACTTCAGCATCTATGTATTTTCAAACCTGTTACTGCTACACTGTGAACAAACGTGGATTGAATAACAATTCCTCACAACATGTCTGCACTTACATGGTCTCATCATTCTGAAACTCCAGCTTGCCAGCTGCCAGTTCATAGTCCTCTCCTGCTTTAGCAGAGGCATCCACAGTTCGGTAGGGGACAGCTACCAGGCCTCGGGCCCCTGAAGTCCTGAGCACCTTCACCTCCATCACACCTACGCTCTCACTCACCCTCTGACTGGCACTCTCAAAGGTAAAGATACCTGGGAAAGAAAGAAAGAAAGAAAGAAAGAAAGAAAGAAAGAACTTTATTTCGCAGGGGAGCACCACTAAAAAGACGTGAAAGATGAAAGGTTGATCAACACCTACGCTCTCACTCACTGGTTTGCTCTCCAATGCGTACCGTATATATAGTGAAAGGAATAATAGATTCGCACCCACTCTCTCCAGATAAAAGATAATAAGCATCGGGTAAACGCCCACTCTCCACTCAGCCTCCCTCAGTTTAATTCTCTTTGGATGTTATCAAACTCCTGTAACTGAAAAAGAGGTGACAGTGAGGGGACTGGAACTCTTCGTGATACCTTTTTGATGATGTCCTGGGACTATGCAGCAAAGCAGTAGACCCATGTTGATTTAAAATTAAGGAAAACCAGCTCTTAAAGGGAAATCTAAGCAATTTTTCAGAACAAGACTTCTCCTTGAGCAAGACTTATACGTTGTGAGGGGAGTATACCTTTCTGTTTTGTTTTTTTGTCTTTTCTTCTGTTGTGTCAGGTTCTATATCACCGATAGGCCAGAAAACAGGTTGAAAGCATGGAGGCTAGTGAAAGTATTACAGTGGGTATGTCTTTTTTAATATCTCTTACTTATTCAGTCTCTCACTCAAACTCAGTCGCAGCTAAATTGTTCCATGTTAAATGTTCAAGCGCTGCTTGGACGGAGATGGATGGCATGTTGTGGCTGCCAATCATTACATTGTGCTGGCAAAGGGTCTAAAATGAGGGTGTTGCATTTTCATCATTGCCCATCTCAGCAGATCTGCACTGGAGCAGATAAATACCTGTAACTACTGCAGAGGCAATTGCCTCGGGAGTGAATGCTGATTGTAACCTTTCCCATTTAATACAAAAGCTAGATGTTAGTGGGTGATAGTGGGTTTTTTTGTCCAGTGAGAAACAGGCTTTACACAATAACAAATAGACCAGATGAAGTGAAAGGCAAAGAGAAATGTTTTATGTGTCTGTAGGGATGGTTTCCATAAAGTTGTCAGACACTTAGAATAACAATCTGAGCCTGTCAGTGGCAAAAACAAGCACTTTTAGCGGACATATATCGACGATGCATAATTGCCCCAGGTGGTTACATTGCAGCCTGTTTCACTATCGGCTGCTGCAGCACTATTTCCCAAAACTGAACTAAATAAACTCAGACACAAAAATATGGGAAAATAGGGTACAGTCTGGAAAATACATAGTTTCCCTTAGATGTCTGCTTTTGTCACTTTGTCTGTTTTGCATGTTCTATCTTTTACAGAAAGTGAGGGGAATTTTAATTTTAATTTGGCTTTAACTATAAAATGTACAGTGCAAATGGAAACTCCTGTGACATCATTCAGGGATTCTTCTTACCTGCGTGATCATCATCATAGATGGTCACTGTGGCTGTGTGGTTGTCACCCAGCACGGCTTTGGGGGTGGCGCTGGCATCCAATGGGGCAGTACCAATCTCAGGATAACCAACCACTCGAGGGTTACTGAGGTGGACGTAGAAATACTCATCCTCCTCAAAGATGTCGTCATCAATCACTCCGACTGTGATCTCTGGTAAAAGAATTGTCATTTTAGAATGTTGGTTTTGGTACAGACTAGAGTAGTTCCTGGTACTCCTCTTTATGCAAAATTATTTCAGTCTAAACATTAAAATTTTCTTGAAGCCAGTGGAAAAAGTTGTCTAAGATGCTGAAGATAACCTCTTCTATTTGAGTCTGAGTCTCAGTGATGTGTTTTTTAAAAATATGCCATAAATTATTGCTGCGACTGTTATTTTTACCTTTGAGGGTCTCTCCTGGCTTAAACAGCAGTGTTCCCTCCGCAAACTCATAATCTGAACCTGCGTTTGCCGTACCGTCCTCTGTGCGATAATCCACCTGGGGGAGATAGGAACACAAGGAGATGGGAAGCGGGGTGAGACGAGGGGGAAGAGAGAGAGAGCAAAGAGACGTCAAAAGATGAAACAGAAGTGAACAGATATGAAAAGGGCAGATAAACACAAAGAGAGAGGGAGAGCACAGAGAACAGAGAAGAAGTGAGAGATCGAGGAGGACGGCAAAGAAACGGAGGAGAGGCATTTGGGGAGATGCGAACATAGGGTGAGAGAAAACAAGAAAAACGGCTTCATTAAACTGAGCCCTCTGGTCAGATACAGTCTGATAATAAAGACTTTGAAGATAGTACAACAAAACTTTCCCTGTATCCTCTTCATTCCCTGTGTCCTCTCTTCATCTGCCCCGTTTATTAACCCTCTCCAGCCTATACAGAGGCTTACAAGCTTATCCTCATTGTTTAGAATCAGATAACAGTGATCAGATTGTGTTGCCTGTTATATAAAAATTGAAAAAAAAATTAAGATTTCTTCAAAATAATCTGAGCCTGTCCGTAGGCAAAGCTGAATCAGTGACTCGGTGTTGGTGGTGCTTTTATAATCATTTTCTTGGCTCTGCTGTATTTTTTGCTCTTGATGAAATGTGTGAGTGACACAGCTTTAAACTTATTTTTGAATGCATCCACTATAATAGCTGATATTGCTGGGAGCTACTGTATACTAAGGCAAAATTAATATTTCAGATGTCTGAAATTTGAAAATACAAAATGTAGATATGAATTGTGAATGCAGCAAGCTTATGTACAGAATAAATCTGATAGGAATATGTTTCCTTATTGCATGGATGGTATAGCAGAAATCTGGTCTCTAACATCATATACTAACTATTCTAGCAAATTTAAAGCTGATATTATTAGCACTTTTATTTTTGGAGTAAACAGCTCTGGGGACTTGTTGAGAGGAAGTGCGCACTGGGGAGCCCCCCTGAGAACTATATAAGATACCCTCAAGGGCTTTTTTTCTGTTTGCATTTGCCTTGCCAAGAAAAATGCTGAAGTGATTTTTTTTGTAAGCCAGCCACGTCACTTCTGCTTTGACGAGTTAAAATCACGTGGCCTGGACTTGACTGTTGGTCCATGTGTCCATGTTTTCTTACATTTCTTTTGTTACAAGCGTTTGTGTTTTTTCTGTTGTCTATTGTTCACACAACTAGAGCACATTAAAAGTGGTGGTTGCTGATGCTGCATTGGCTGTGTTCCACCGATCAAAGTATACTTACATTTCGGGCTGAGTATCTGTACTGGATACTTTTAAGATATCGACCGATATAACCCAGCACCAAGTAGTATCAAATATTCTCCAGTCAAATGCTATCTGCATTCAATCCTTTTTGCACCATGGGGTCTGATCCCCGACTGTCCCGACTCCCCAACAGATCAGCAAATTTTCTGTTGCTGCTGTTACCAGAGATGCTCTGTCTAGTTAGCACGAGCTAAAAAGGCAGCAGCAGCTAACATACAAGACCTAGCAGTTAAACGGTCCTAACAAACTTACACCAACACCGAAATGACTGGACTTTGTCATTAAACCCTGTTAATAACCATTAGATAACGTTAGCCATGTGATGCTAACAGTTACCCCTATTACTGTGTGTGCGCAGCCAGGCAGACAACTGTTCCCAGCACAGAGCTCACACTCCCACATTAGACGCTACAACCCACATAGTGTGTGGAGCGGTGAGGTCAGAGATGGCAGTTCAGAGAGCAGAGATGCCACCAAAACATTTTAAATTATGGCTATACTACACACCACTCCATTCCCATTATGGGTGTTGAGTTAAGTATTCTATTGGTATCAGTTTCAATTTAAGGGTAGGCCTACTGGTATTGGCACTGGTATCATCATTTTTTAAATGACACCCAGCCCTGCTTACTTCCACATCATTCACTGTACACTTAGGTCATTCATGGTTCCTCCAAAAAAAAGTTAAAGTTCCCTTAAAACTGCATTCTAAGAACTGCTGTTCCTTGTTCTTGTGGTGTGGACACAACAAAAAGGAGGTTTTTAGAATTATGAAAAAGTTCCTGTGAATGTGAAAATTTATGGTCATATTGAAGAACCCATGGAGAATTGTCACCTGACTCTGCTGTTCACTTTAGCTATACAGAACATTTTATCATTCTCTAGCATTCAGCTGATTGTTTCAGTTTTACAGCAGCAACATTAATGCTTTGGTTCAGTCTAATTGCTCTTATCTGTGTTGTTTACAGGTAGCTGTTTTCAACTGAAAAGCTCTAAAAAGCCACTGTACACAGCTCAGCACCAAATGGCAGACAGACAAAGTTGGCAAATAGCTGGTGAACATGGTGGAGCATTTAGCAGCTGGAAAAGACAGAGGTTTTATCTCAGTGTTCAAGTAATTGCATTGCAAAACAAAGTTAAAATGAGTGTAAATATTGGACTAACACACTTCACTTTTTATAGGGTAAAGTGCAGTGTAGATTTCTTTGGATTTTTCCTGTATATTTAAAAGTCTTGCAGATTGCAGTCTGGGATTGTGAATAGCTTCTCTGAGCTTTTGACTGTTTCAGTAAGTGAGCCGTCAAGTACAAGTAGCTTCATTTAGGAATCCTGTTTGGTAAGAATAATAATTTCTTATTCTCTGAAGCGCTGCTCTGACACCATGTCTGAAGAGCCTGTGTGTGGGCTAAATAGACCACTTCACTTAGCAGAATCAGCCTTCAGTAGACAGCGGACTGAGGCCATGCCTTCAGCCTGCCTCTACACACAGCACTGATGTTGCATCATAACTTCATTTGTATACAGGGAGAAGAACAGACGAGACACAGCCTTTCAAAGCCCCCGGTAGTAAAAGCAAGCAGATCAGGTATCATTCCGCTGACACAGACTCCCCGTGGGAGACTTGAAAGAAAATCTCTTATTCGGAGTACGAGGCCAGCGTTAAGCACCAGATCAATGAGCCTTTGCAGGAGGATGTGTGTTTTCTTTGAGTTACAACCTGGGCTGGAATCTAAAAATCTGGAGAATAAAGTGTTCTGTATGGTGTCTCCAAATTCACCTACTTCTATCCTTTTACTAGCTCTGACCAGAGAAAAGGAAAAAGGATACTCAAAGTCTCTAGAGGTGAGAACATGTTATAAGGAAGATCAAAACCAAGACCAGGAAAACTGCCAAAGATGTGAATGAAAACAGTTCAGAGCTTTGTGTCTGCTTTAGTCTGTCTGGGAGTCTTTGGGCTTCTCTACTTCACATACACACCATTTTATAAACACACTTTGATTCCTGTTCTTCTGAAAAACTCCACGGTCATGCACTAATACCACACACAAACACACCTTGACAGTAACTCCAGGGTCTCCTCCGTGTCTGGCAACGGTCAGTTTTAAGGAGCCACAGTTTTCAAAGCACTGGTACAAAGAGGGTTCAAACTCCATTCTGATGGTGTGAGGGTCATCCTCCTGGGCCTGGGTCTCATGGCTGCTCACCACCTGGAAAACCACACAGGAAAAATGGTCAGGTGCTTTGTATTTTTTTGCTTTTAATAATGAAGATGAGGGAAGACTGTGCGTCTCACCTTGCGAGCCTGGTCGGCGGCGTGCTTCTTCAGGATGTTGCCAGCTCCAATCATCATCCTGGTTGCCTGGATACGGTAAAATGCTCTGCTCTTTTGCTGCTGCATCAGGACCTGATCAACAAAAACAAATCAAGGACAAATCAATAACAAAGTGTTCTATTGTATTCATCATGTTAATCTATACCTTACTGTGCTTTTTCCAGATTAGTCTTTCTTCAAGAAAAGCTTTCACTCTTAAACTGACAGCTGCAATTTACAGCTTAAGCTGTGAAATTTTTTTTACGTCTCTTCAGGGATGTTAGAGGTCAAAGGTCAGCTGCAGAGTCACTGAGGACACTTCAAAAGATGGGATGCTTGAGGTTTTAACCTAAATACTGCACTATCTCTTTTGTTTGTGGGGTTGGAACTTCACTCCCGCATTAAAAAGCTGTAACTGCACTTCTAAACAGAGACAGACAAAATAAATGAATACATAATTAGAATCACGCTGACAATGAATGACTTTGCATTGTAGCTGTCTCCCTAAGTATTAACCTTTTTGAAACGCACAAGACTGTAGTTGCTGACTTTCTTAGCTGCAAACTTTGGATCTAATGGGCCTTATCAATCTATAAGTAATGATTTCAATGAAAATGTATGGCTGAATACCAATTTAATATCCTAACGATCCACCAAATAGAAAATGAACAAATTGGCCACTGTATTTGAGAGATCATTAGATTAAATGTGGACTCAGAGCTGGGAACACAGTGATTTATAAATTCAGAGGAAGCGAGCCGGCAATTTCATTTCAGAATCCTCATAAAATCTACATCTCCTTGGAGGGACAGAAGCAGTGATTGTTAGTTTAGTTAAAAACTTGATGTGGTTTTGCTGAGCAAGCTGGCCGAAGTTGATGAAAGTCCAGTTCCACCACGGGGGACCCTTATTTTATTTTTTTTTAATATAATGATTCATTATGAGCACAAGAACCTTAATTTACCCAGCTGAGTTTAATCTACAGGGCAGCTGTCATTTTTATTTACAGCACGCAGCTGAGGGAGTAGCTGCAGGGGGGAGGGAGGCTTGAATGCAAACAAACATCTGGAAGTTACCCAGTGCACCTTGAGGTGCCTGCCAAACTCCTTTCCTTCCCTCCTTCGCTCCAAAAAAAACCAAAGACCGAGACCGAGATATGACTTGGAGAGGAGGCAAGGGAAGGAAGAGGGGAAAGCAGAGAAAGGGAGAGCAGCAGAGGCTTGGACCGCTTCTACAGTTCAGCATTAAAGGATGAAAATGGATAAAGCAGAGGAATCCTTAATGTGCCAGCTTTATTTCTTCTCATAAACATTTTTAAGCAAGTGTGAGTAAATCTCTCAACAGAGACATGTGTGTGTGTGAGACAGCAATCTAGTAGCAGCTTCTTTCTTATGACCAGGGATGAGAAGATTAACCGACTAGTCGATTAATCTCTCTGTGACGCACTGACTATCGAAACTCAGCTAATCAAACACCAAATTTAACCAAAAGTTAAATTTAGGACAAAGCACACATTTTTTCATGGCTTCTAAATATCAATGAACAAATTGTAGATCTAAAATTCCCCCAAAAAATCTTAACTCGAGGTCCGCCTGCTGGCTTTTTACAAACTTTAAACCACATCTCACGGTCTTTCTTGTAAATGAACTCACTGTGAGAGATGAAGCTGTTAGCTCAAAAAAAGGTAACCTTGCAGTGGACCTTGTGTTACAAATTTTTTGTCAACTGTGAACTTTCACGCTCACATACCTAATGTTCTTATAACTTACCGGGCAAAAAATCACCTGGATGCCAGAGGGGTTGCATGTTTTAGTGCTGTCAATCGAGCCAAATGGCACCTTCCACTCTGCAGACTAGTGGTTTTACCAGCACATAACATTAGATGAAAAAACTGTATTTCCCTCTGTATCTGTTGATGTGTGTGAGAGAGACTGTGTGGCTGTCTAATACTCAGCCAGCAACAACCGCAGCCTATAATAATCATAATAATAATAATACATTTTATTTGGAGGCGCCTTTCATGTCACCCAAGGTCGCCTTACAGAGCGTAGAGGATAAAAGACATCGTTAAAACAAAACATCAACATAAAAACAACTGTAACTTATAACTTTATATTTGGTGTGTGTGCATAGTTGGGTTTCTATTTTATAGAAATAAATAAGCACTACAAAAGACAAATAAGGATTATTTTAATTAAATTTACTGAAGCAGTTACAGTAGGCATAAGTCTTATTAATTTGTTAAACAGCTCAGAAGTTGCTCTGAAACATTTTGAGACGTTCTCTGTATAACGCCTATGTGCTGTCCTACCTGCTATCGCCAAAAACACCTCGTTCACAACTGGATGTGTCACAGCGTCATCTCCAACACAAAGTCACCCTCAGAGGAGTCACACTTGAAATGTGTATGAGTAATGTTATTTTTCATTTTGTTTCTGAACGTAAAAAGATTTTTAGAAGGAGAACTTTAAGAAACAAAGTCGAGATGGAGACAGGGGAAACTAATTGGAAGAAAGTGTTACATCCAGTCATATTCTTAAGTGTACACACCACTGATATACTTTTAAGTTTTTGTATTGCATATGTCTTGGAGTAGCTTGACATTTTGCTGAATACAGTAAGCTTATTTGCTTTTTTGCCAAGAGTTAGAGAAGAAGCTCGATACCACTTTGATGCCTGTGCATTCATGCTACAATTCATATACTCCTTGGATGGTCCCATTTCCCTGAGTTAGCCTGAAGTTGTTCTTTCAACTCCTGTGTTTGTGAGTTTTTAAGTTGTACAGTGGAAACAACAGGGATGCTACAAAGAAGATGTGTTGAATTTTATTGCTCAGAGCATTTTACATCCCAGGGAAGATTCATGTTGCTATATTACAAAGTGTTTTTTTCCCAGACTTGTTGCTGCCCCAGCCTGTATTCCCAAAATCCACTAAGATATTGCTTTACCTTTCCTGACGGGGTTAATGCTAATAAATAACTTTTCTAACTAATCTAGGTCACACTACATGGACAACAACTAATAATTACAGACTAATACCTTATTACTGATTACATGTGAGCAAAATTTAATATGCCATACGTGAATGAATAAAAAAGTTCTGAACATCAACCAAACATTTGTAATGTGTCATTAACTCAGCAGGTTGTGTACCATAATTTTGACTTTTTGCGTCATTCCAATTTGTGGGCGTTCATGGGAACTCATTTTTCTGATTATTCCAACACCACATGAATGCAGGTTAAGTATTCTATTGAGCTAGAGCCAAGTGATTATCTTAGCATAGCTTAGCTTAGCTTAGCTTAGTTTAGCTTAGCTTAGCTTAGCTTAGCTTCGCATACAGACTGAAGGCAGAGCACAACAGTTAGCTTGACTAACTCCAAAAGTCAAAAATATGCCCACTAGCACCTCTAAAGTTCAGTAATGGACACATGTCTCATTTGTATAATCCATAGAAACATAAAAGATGAAATTTTGTGGCTTTAGATGGAGTTAGATGCTGAAGCATTTGCTTTTTTTTTTTCTCCTTTGCAACAAGCAGTTAATAGTCTCCCAGTCGCCTCCCAGTTCTAGCTCCATACTTAATGCAAACATGAGAGTGGTATCGATATTCTCAGTAGAGTATTGGCAAAAAAGCAAAATGTCACACTATCCCTCAAAAGTGGGACCAAGTCTTGTTTCAAGTCACAAGTAAGTCTCAACATTCAAGATCCACGTCAAGTCTCAAGTCAAGACAGGCAATTCTTGGGTCAAGTCCCAAGACCTAAACTTTGAGTCTTAAAAAAATCAAAATGTGCTCTTCAATAAAAGTAATGTCAATATTAAATCAACAAAATCATTTTTTAAAATTGTGTTTATTTGTTCAAACAAGTTTGTGAAAAAGTTACTTAGCTGATAAGCTAATGTTAGCAAAGCATTAGCTCTCTGTGTTAATATAAGCCTCAACTTGCTATACTTTGATACTTTGTGCAACCTCACGTCAGTCAAAGCTAGAAATTGTTCTGTCTTCATCTGTAAAAATAAGTACGGAATATCACCAAACTTACACAGCTATTGTGTTTGTGTGTGTGTGTGTGCACAAGTGTGATTTTGTGCATGTGTGCGCACACACTCCCTTACCTGATAATTAGCCATCTCAATCAGTTGCTCCATGTCTTTGTCTGGGTGCCTCTGCTTCAGGTCCTTCAGCGTCCTCGCCATGTCCCTTCTGGCCTCGTCCTCTTCATCCTTAGCTCCTCCCTCTTCCATCAACCCTCCGTCCATCCCACTGTGACAGTTTAATGCCATCTGTCCATCCAGCTCCAGCATGTCCATCTTGGTGAAACCCCCCGGACCCAGTGCTCCTCCGGCCATACCCATCCCTCCATCGTTCCCTCCCTCAGTTTCAATGATGATGCCTCGGTTCTTGTCAGCACGGTAACGCTTTCGGACGTACTTGTAAAAGAGGAGGCGACGGTCGGCCACCCAGGCCTGGACCACACAGAGGGGGAAGAAGAGGAAGGTCAACACCGCCTCCCATACCTAGAGGAGAGAGGAGACAGAGTTAACAGCTTCCTTTTTCTTTCCTTCCCAACTTCCTCCTTTTCTCCCAAACTTTCCTCAGGTAACAGCTTCCATTTCTGCCTATCTCACCTCCACCTCTCCAGGGGAAGAGACACTCAGAATCAGATAAAGCCAGATGTAGGCGAAGATACTCCAGGCCGCCGTGACGAAGAACACCCGAAGGTGTTTGATTTTGCGCGTCTCTCCGTCAGGAACCACGTACACACACAGAGCAATGATGACGAACATGTTGAAGGCAGCACTGCCCACGATGGTGCTGGGACCCAGAGAGCCTGCCTCGAAACCGTGACCGCACACCTATGGTGGGGTGAAAATCAGATTACCGTGTTCCCATTACATTCTGTATCAGTTAATCTAATGTGTAACCACCTAGCTCATATTGTGCTCACCTCAATAACAGACAGCAGTATCTCGGGGGCACTAGAACCCAGAGCCATTAGAGTCAGATTAGAAACGGTCTCATTCCAGATCCTGACCGTGGCGGTGGTGGTCTCACCGTTCGGCCTCTTTATAGTGATTTCCTTCTCTTGGGATGTTATGACCTGGAGAGGAGAGGAGAGGAGAGGAGAGGAGAGGAGAGGAGACACCAAAAGGCCAGAAAATGAAAGGAAATAAATAGCAAGAAGAGGAAAGGAAAGGAAAGGAAAGGAAAGGAAAGAACAGGCAAGGAAAGGCAAGGAAAGGAAAGGAAAGATGAGACAAGACAAGAAAAGAAAAAAGAAAAGAAAAGAAGAGAAAAGAAGAGAAGAGAAGAGGATGCAACAAAGGGAAATGAGAGGAAAGTGATAAGGAAAGAAAAGCAATTTAAATATTTTATGAGATGATGCCACAGAGCTGTCAAACATGAGTCATATTAAATTAGATCCATTGTATTTCCCCGAAATGATGATGGCTGGTGATAGCTGTCATGACTTCTATATATAAATGAATTAATCTACTATGAAGTCCTGCAACATCATGAGGAGAAACTCATAACAGAAGGTCTCAACAGTACAATAAGTGTGCAGTCATCCATTTCTTGCCTACCTCTATAGAAGACATGAATCGGTCCGCTATGATGCTCATACCCAGGAACATATAGATGAGTGCTACGAAGTAAACAATGGCCCGTGCCACTTTGTCCCCTACAGAGGGGTTCTGAGGGTTCCACACGGGTAATACCACTCCTGAAATGTAAAAAAAGAAAATAATCAAATTGAGTTTTGCAGCAAAGAATCACAAGAAATAACAATTTGTGTGATAACCTCACTGATCTCTCCCTCTCTAATCTCGTACAGTCTGCCACTGGCATATTCTAAAAAGCTCAGTGACAGCACAACTTGATTAAGGATTATAATAAGTGGGAGATTTTCCATATGGTCCCATTCGTCTTCATAAAATTTATAAAAAATGGATCAATGCGCTCTAGTTCCAGGGCAGTAAATTGGCACAATCGGCTGATAACTCACTTTTTTGTTTTTTTTTTCTTACCCAGGAGGCGATGAAACACTGTCACCTTCGTATGGTGTGGTGTTCCTGCCGCGGGTGTGTTATGAATATTCTGCTGACGTTGTTCAACTTTAACTATGCATTAGCACCTGGCAACTGGCATATAAATCTCTCTCTGTTATTTGCAGAGCCTCTGGACAGGTCGCACAGCATGAGCTGGCAAAATGTACTGCAATAAATGCCAGGAGGTTATTTATAGGCTATTTTAGAAATTAAGGACTCTTAAGACTAATATACTGGTACCACATGAGAGATATGCAATAAACCACATTTAGTTAAGCTGTGATGTAACTCCAATCTATGTTACTATATGATATTATAAAGAAAACTTATATATTTAAAATATCATTATGACTGACCATAGGATACACATTAAGGTGTTTATTTTAGTTCAAATTTCTGGTCTGGAAATGTATGCAAAAAGAACATATTTTATTAGATAATGTCTCATTTGTATATTTAAACATAAAAATTCAAGAAAACTTGTAATAAAAAAAATATTATTTTAATGCACACAATCAACTGGGAAAGTGAACAGTCATGTCTATTTGTTACAAAGTTTACCCTTTTCACCTGTAGTGTCTTATTTTTTTGTCTAAAAATGTATAGAATTTTATAATAATGTATAGAATTTTATAATACATATCTTTAAAGCTTAGTTTTTTCTCAAACCCAGAATCTCCACTTCAGCAGTACTTATATACACCAAATTTCCCATTGTTTTCTACCTACATTCTGAAGTTTTTACAAAGGGGTTCATTCATGTACCATTAAAAGCCTTATTTATACAACTTATTCCTAAAAACATGACAAAAATGGACTTTTGCAGTGTTTTCTGATTTTTGAAGTGATAAAAAGAGATATCCAAAACTCATGTCAACAACAGGAAACAAGAATTTTGAACCAGGCTTTTCAAATGTTCAGATTTCTCTTCTAGAAAAATCTGTGCAAATTTACCTAAATAACACCTCATTTTAATTTTTCAACATAAAGTTTCAGGACACTTCTACTACAAAAAAAAAAAAAAGTTTTAATGTAAGTATTCAACAGAGGAAGTTTTAAGTAATGGTCACACGAGTGGATGCAGGTGAGTGACGAGGTGATGTTTGTACTGAATGTGGGCAGTGGATGGAAAAGGAGAGCTAGCTTGCCAATAAATACTGCAAAATATGATGTTATTGGTACCTTTTCCATTTTCTTACATTCCATGCCTGTCTCCTGACTCACTGTCAGTCAGGCAGCATTTATAATGTGGGGCAGTTTGTATTTTTCATGGCTACAATCATACATTATTGGGTTGTTAGACACATATATATACTTCTTTGCTACTGGTTGAGGCTGTGACTTTGTAAAGTTTACCAAAGTTGAACTCCACAATGCAAAGACGTACTGGCTATTCCCCCCTTCTGCTCACATTAAATGAAAGTGGAAGGGGGGTAAATACTCACCAATGTTAATTTCACTCATGTGTGACCTTGCCCTTGTGGTGATATCTGGTTAAATGTTTTACCGTATTCACCTGTTGTGTCTCCCCTTTAGCTGACAGGCAAATATAGTGCTTGCACCAAAAAGCTAAATGGCTCTGTGCAAAATCATTGTTGAGACTTGGCTTTTACATCTGCAGGGTACTGAAGCTGAGTAAAATTATTAATGCAGTCAAGTCATATAGTTTAATGCATCTGCTGCCTCCATTGTAACAGGGGCATACAATCAATAATGAATTATATGCTTAATTGTTGTTTCTTACAAAAGAGGAAATTGATTTCATTGAGTAAGCCACTTCAGAGATGAAACGCTGTAACCACCACTGGTAAACTTCACTGATCTAAAGCATCATTATGTTGAGCTGTGACAAAGGCTGGTGACATCAATAGCTTACATGGCTGGTACGTGGAAAAGTAGAGGCTTAACCCTTTTCCCTACTTAACCCTTTCAGTAAGCCGCACCTCCTGTAAGAGTTAAGAGAAGAAATCTATCCCATGTTAATCCCTTTCTGTGTGCATTAAGCCACAGACCAACCCACCTTCTTGACAGGGGTCTCCACTGGCTGAGCAGTTTTTCTCATGTGAGCCTGCGTGCACAGATCCAGGACACGACAGCAGGAGAAAGGCGGAGAGGAGGAAGAAGAGGAGGGTTGAGGAGAGGCGGGATGGGTGGAGAGAAGTAAGAGGGGATGGAGGCAGAGACATGGCTGCTGGAGCCATTTCTGCTGATGCGGCCGGGCCTTCACTGGACTCTGCTGAGTTCTAATGGGTCAGTGCAGCGTGGAGTGACGTCCAAATCCTTGAGGTAGACAAAGAAAAGGTAGAGACAGAAGGAGAGCTGTTATTGAACCATTTAGAGAACTACTTCTGTTAGTTAATTGTATTCACTATAAAAAAACATCTTAAATCAACTCAATGGCTTTTAATTAAAGCATGTAGGAAGTAGTAAAACTTGAGGTTAATAGCGCAGGCTGAGAAAAAGCATCCCCGGTGAGACAAAACTTAAACAACATTCCTCATTTTTAATAGAACTCAATAGAAAGTGGTTGTTAACTGCTTCATGGTGGATTAAAACAGATAGAACAAAATAAAGAAGCGATAAAAGCAATAATGAAAGGTCATTACATAAAAGAAAGGCCACGAGTAAAGTCTGTAAAAATGCTCTAAATGATGATACACCTGTAGCCAGCATCTGTAATAAAGGTAAAATAATAAAGTCTATAATAAAGCTGAAGTAGATATAGCTGCCCTGGGTTCTTCCAAAAAAAATAAATAAAAAAAATCAATCACCTCTTGTTTTTAATCTGGATGCTAGAACAGTCAATAGGAGGCTCTTTTTAAGCTACACTGCAGAGCAGACAGTAGATGCACATTTGTAATGTGGACTTTAGAACTTAACATTGTTTTTTAATCTAGACTTTGTGATAGAAATCTTCCAAAGCACCGCAGGCTATAAATGGGCTCATACAAGGACGGCTTTGTGCCCGGCCTTTCATCCCTTAAATGTGAAGGTAGAACTCTTAGAATCACTTGTGATGAAGGATAAACACCGGGCTGATGTAATCTAGGCAAACATTTGGTTTTATTATTCAGGGACGAGCACATTGAAGCTAACCAGAATCAGGGCCCCCTCCGCTACACTCATCACTATGAATTTTAGTGGTGATAAGTTTTCACATAAAAGCATTTCCACTGCGCACTAAACTTCTCCGCTCAGCATGTCCAATATATTCATGATTACAACAAAATGTGGTGAATTTGTTGATTTATGTTTTGACAGATAAACTATACAGTGGATACAGTGTGAATCTGGATGCAGATCTTCCTGGCAGGTTGCTAAAGGTGCATTGTTCACATTTTTAAACAAGCAATGGGTCAAATGATTATGTGTAGTGTGAAAGAGGTTGTTTGTACTGACAAATTCACAGATAAATATCCCTGGATAATTATTCCTCTTTGCTGCATAGACTTAACTTGGCCCAACACTTGGCTGTTTTGATTCAGTCCCACCACTCTTGTAAGCATTCCAGCTGCATCAGTCCGCTGTTTTTAGTGGAAAAGCTCTAATAGACCAGCACATTCTCATTCCCAACTTGTCAAATACTGCCGCTTTGTGATGCTGCCAGACGGCACCAGTTTGTAACATGGCTGGCAACAATGTAATACAACGTTTCCCATGTGAATGTTGAGCCAAACAATGATGTTTTTTTCTAAACCTAACCATGTCCGAAAAAGACTGCATGCATCTAACAAGTGAAAGGCATTTTGAATAGACATAGTGCTTGTAAGAAGTGTGAATTGACACGCCATCGCAGAACATCAACAACAGATGCAGAGGGCCACTAAGCGTGTCATGTTCAGTTGTAAAAGTCAAGAGTGTTTAAGTGTTTAATAAACAACAAATCCTAATTGCCAAAATAAATGTAGGCATTGCCCGTTTCTGCAAGTGAGACATGTTACATTTGTATGTTCCATATGTAGCAGATATGTTGACATTTTCAATATCATGTTGCGAGAACCCTAAGGTTCATCTGTGATAAGGTTTAGGCACAAAAAAACACTTAGTAATGGTTGGCAAAACATCATGCTTTGATGTAAAATGGTTTTGTCACAAACACAGCTGGACATGTTTTAACTTCTGTTGGTCTCAAACTGTGGTCTGATGCTGTCTGCTGCATTTTGCCTACAGTAGATGACATGCCATCCACCATCTCCTCCTCACAGAGATGTAATCTGAACTACGCCGTACACTTGAAATGTACAATATCCATGTTTTGCAGAAAGGTACAATGGCAACATTTTACTCTGGCGACTGGGCTGGTACATCACCTGCCTCATACAAAACAGCAGTCAAAGTTAACAACTAGCTGGTGAACACTGGAGCATTCAGCAGCTAAAGAGCAACATACTTCTCTTAGGAGTTGGTGGAGACCAAAAACAGAGCTAAAAGGAGAGCAAATGCTGGACATTCACCAGGTGGCCAACAACAAGATTTAAAATGAATGCTAACGTTGCTAGGTGTCTCCTAGATGTGTAAATAGGCAACTGCTTGATTACACCTTTCCCAACTTGATAAGGCATCATTAATGTGTCTGCAGCCCAAAGAAGTGCTCAAAAAATCAATTCAATTTGGGTGCTAATGTCTTTCAATCTCAAAGCCACAGAGAAAGTGCTGACTGAGAGGTTAAACTCAGGGCAAAAGACTCCCGCAGTCTCTCTGCTACTGCTCATAAATCTTTTGGTGTGAGTGCACAGTGAAGGCCGAATGTTCAAACTTTGATGACTGTTTCAACTCAAGGCATTCTCTCATGTGTACAGCATGAACATGCTATTTAGCACAAACTGCAACATTAAAAGTAGGTGGACAAACTGAATTTCCCTAGAGGAAATAATGGCCTTGAAGAAGTCTTTCATGTGTAAATTTGTACACACAAGCCCTTACAGACCAGTGCATGTGTGCAGCCGGCTGGAGATGCTGTACTTTGCTGCAGATTTCATGCTGCCCCACAGTGTTTGGCAGTGAACATTAGCTGAGCTGAGAACAAGCAGTCGACAGCAGAGATACGACGGCAATATGTTTCCATGAAGAGGAAGCAGAGTGGCTTTTCAGTTTTGCCACAGTTAATATGTTGAGAGTGAAAACAGACCAAAAAAAAAGGGATGAGACCCATTTGAACTGGCAGTGTAAGGTCAAATTACTGCAAACATGTACTCAGGGAGGAACAGAAACATGTACACACACAGAGCAAAGAGACAAATACACAAACACAAACTGTGTTAGTCTTGTAGTGCCGAATTTGCTGACCTTGTACTCATATACTCACACACACATACTCAGGGTTCGTCAGCCTTGGGCGAAAAATCGCTGACCCTGTCTTCGCACAAACACATACGCGCGCTCACACACACCAACACACACACAACCACCGTTAGTCATCTGTCGTGACATTAGCAGGGAGTTGCTGACCCTGTCTTCATCTATCTTCCAGGGTCTCGCTGCTCTGACAACAACCTGTCACTTCAATACTTGACTCGCTTATCTTCGCCGCAGTCTATCCTGCTACTGCTCCCCTCCACTCCCTTACTCTCTCTCTTCTTTTTTTTTTCTTCGGTTTTTTATTTCCAGTCAGAAATTAGACTTCACTCCTGGATGACAGATTGCTGTAAGGTTTTCACTGCGAGTGTTAGAAGTGGATTTTTTTCCTTCTTTTTTATAATGAGAGGAAATTGAACTTTCACATCTCAGCTGCAAGTTTAAAAAATCTTCCCCATCTCTCAGTATGAAAATGAATTTTTACAACTTCACAGACCTTAACCCTCTGCAGGGGTCAGGGGCAAATATAATCTACAAGTGCATTAGTTTTGATTAGTCATTAACTTGATTAAAGGAACACTTCACCCTCCAAATGACCATTTGTATTTCAATTACTCACCCCGCATTACGCTGAATTTGTTTTTCTCGCATGCCTCTGGTGATTGAAGAATCCAAAAACTGAGAAAGTTCTTTCTGAAGTCATAGGGGGTCTGCATTTAACAACAGCACAACTATATCAAACATCTGCTTACAAACTTTCACACAACTTGTGCAGTATAATCCAAGTCTCATTTATCTAGTTGCATGCTCAGTATTTCCCGAACAGTCAGCCCATTATGCTATGCTCTCTTCAAAGCCAGACCCCATTAACAAAAACAATAATTTTGCCTTGCTAAACACGGGAGCTGCTGGACTTCTGCTGCCTCGATTGGTTAGTTTGTTTGCGTTATTGTGTGACTTTGGTGATTTTGATCTTACCCTTTCAAACACAATTATTTCAGTTCATGAAGAATTTTTTCAACTTTCGGATTCTTCATTCGCTGGAGGCACACAAGGTAAGATGGGATACGTAATTAAAATGCAAATGGTCATGTGGAGGGTGTAGTGTTCCTTTAAGAAGTCACTGGTTGAGAAATATGTACAGTTTAGTAAGACTTTAAATTTTTATTTGAATCCCCTACCTATCTGTAGGATGTGGTCACCTCTGACCATATGGGGCAGATGTTCTTCAAGTAATGAATGGATTCAGCAAAATGAACTCAACTCAGGGTCCATATACTTGCTTGTTCTTGAGCTTTCAACTGTACACACCGTCCTCATCAGCTGTTTGAGTTTGCTCATTTGCTCTCAGATCCATGAAAAGTTTGAACATCTTCAGTTTCATGACAAATTGGCAAACTTAATCTGGTGATTAAGGCTGAGTGGTAAGGTTGAGAGATCTGGAAAAAGCCAGTAAGTGGACTTTGAGTTGAGGTACTCAAGGTTAAGAATTCATTGTCATGTTCATAGTAATATATAGAGTGAAAATTAGTTAGAGCTTGGTGATTTAGAACTTAAAATCAATTATCTACTTTGCTTGAATGTCATCATCATAATCATAACCATAATTATCACTCCACTGTACAAACTCAACAGCGAGACACTGATGATGCTCAAAACTCCCCCCAGATTACCCCACTTCCCCTATTCTCCATACTCGATTCATCAGTGTCGCTCAACCTTCTGTCTCTCCTCTCTTCGTCGTTTACCTGCTTCATTAAATCTCCCATTCCCCCCCCTCAATCTTTCCCATCTTGTCCATCTCCACCTCCCTCTCAGCCACCCTCTTCTGTGAGGCTCCCACCACTTCTTTCCATCTATCTGCCCAAGTTAATGTCCTGTTGTTCTTTGTCTCTCTCTCCGCCTACACACACACTCACCACGTCTCAAGCACCTCTCCATTTCCACTGTTCCTGCTCACTTTCTGTTTCACACCTCTGATCCGT